CTAGTCAGAGGGGACCAGCAGGCATTGGTGGAGTCCCTGTTTCCCCGAGCACTACCAGGAGTGACTAGAAATAGTGGTCACAAGCTGGTAGAGGGTAGATTTAGGCTAGATATCAGGAGGCGCTACTTCACGGTCAGGGCAGCTAGGATCTGGAACCAACTTCCAAGAGAAGTGGTGCTGGCTCCTACCCTGGGGGTCTTTAAGAGGAGGCTAGATGTACACCTTGCTGGGATCGTTTGTCCCCAGTACTCTTTCCTGCCGTGGCAGGGGGTTGGACTCAATGATCTGCTCAGGTCCCTTCCGACCCTAGAAACTATGAAACGGATTCTTGCTCCCCAATTTCCAGTCAGAGAAGGTCCTAATCCAATCAAACAAGAAAAGATGTGAACAGTATTCATAAAGGGATTCTTTTAAGGAAACTGCACCCTTGACATGATACAGAGTCCTACTACTTTGAAGTTCTCTTTCCCTATGCAAGCCAGAGTTTTGGGCAGCATTTGACTGGGAGTACCGGCTGTGAAATCAGTAGAGCCAGGACTATGCCATGGCACCTGCAGAGAGAGAGCATATTGCATGAAGGGTTTAAGGCAGGGGCAGGCAATTCAAATATTTTTGTCCTGATTTACATGTGTTTATGTAGCGTACACAGAGGTGATTGCAGAATAGCTTACAATAAAGTCTTATTCTTGCTTATTGTGGGGGGGGGGGGCTGTGGGGGGGTGGATATGTGGGGTTTGGGTGGGGATTTGTGAGGAGGGTGCAGGAGGGTGGTTAGGGTGTGTGAGGGGGTGTGGGTGTGGGTGTGTGCGTGCACGGCAGTTCAAGGGGGGGTGTGGGTGCATGTGCGACTCATGCTATGAACCCACACACACATGTACTGGGATAGCCCCATGCTCCCCAGTGCAGCCAGGAGCCATGTGGTGTTGGAGCAGGGCAGGGGCAGGAAGAGAGTGAAATGGCTGGGGGTGGAGCGGGAATAAGCTGCTCAGTCCTGCTGAGGGCTCCCCCTGGGTCCTACTGCCCCTGGCTCTTGTCAGCTTTGACAGGAAGCCAGGAGAAAATAAATATTAATGTACTCATTTTTTTTAGAGGCCCCACAGGCTGGATAGTATGGCCTGGTGGGCTGGATCCGGCCCACGGGCCGTATTTTGCCCACCCCTGGCTTAAGGCAACTTCAATGACAGCATCTGATGATGCAAGCTGTAGCTTATGAAAACTTATGCATCTCTGCCTTCTACTTAAATTTGCTGATGCAATAATAGCCAAGAAATACTATGCAGCTGCTCTCTTCCATCAACTGATCTGTAAAGACCCAAAGTCATTGGCCAACTGCACAATGCAGTCCATGATTTTGCCTGCTGAGCATTGGCAATACATAGGGGGTGCACACAGGTGCACGTGCACCCCCTGAGTTTGGCAGTGCACCCCCTGCAAAAAGCGCTGTTGGTGCCTGAAGGCAGTCGCCGCTCGCCACCCCCCTGCCCCCCGCACGGACATGGCCAGCAGTATCTGTAGGCGGTCCCCAATTGCTGCTGGCCACTGCCAACACTGCCGGTGGCATCTGCAGGTGGTCGCTGACTGCTCATCCCCCCCTCCATCGACCCCACTGTGGCCGCCTGCGGAAGTTCTCCGCTCACCACTACCACACCTTCACTGCCACCAGCACCTGCAGGTAGTCGCCATGCCCCCCCAGCCTCCAGGGGCATGCAGCCTTCATGCTGCTGAGAATCAGTAACAAAGGGAATATCTAATTTTTCATGATAGTATCCAGAGAAGATTAGCACCTAGTATTAGAGGCACTAATGGGCAGCTCAGCCTGGGCTAATGATCTAGTTGGCCACACCTGCCTGGGGCTCTGAGTGACAGCCCTACCTCACTAATGATCCAGCCAGCCACTGTTAGCACCTCCTGATTAGCTGTTGGGGAGAGCAGCCTCCCCATTTAGTTCCACCAATGTCAGCAGCCTGCAGGTCAGTCAGTAGTTCTTTCTGAAAGTCTCTTGTGGTACGCCTCAATGCAGCCTTGGTTCTTTGACTCCTGAGCCTACCCAGCTCTATTTCTGGAACCTGGCTTTTTGGAAAATCCCTGTGGATCTGAGAACTGAGACTGGAAGCAGAAACACCCATGGCTCTCACATCTCATCTTGCACCAAACCCTAGATTTTGCAGATAGGCAAGTCCATTGTCCCATATTAAGTACCTGTAAATTATTCAACTTAACGCTTTATCTAGAAACAATCACAGTTATTTCAATTTAATTGCCATGTAAGCCTAGTGTGGAAATGACTGGGCCACACCTGTTTTGGTGCAAGTTATATCCCAGAATAATCAGGGCCATATTAAATTATTTGTTTTTTGCCTTGGTCTCTGACTTTTGGCTCCGACTCCTGGTGTCCTCTGACTCCTGGCTCATTCCGATTTTGGCATGGACTTCTGATTCTTGAAACTTGATTCATCCTCTGATTTGGACTGTGTCTCTGGATGTTCCCCTTGGGTCTGTTAGCATGGTCCCTAATTGCTGCCCTCCCCAAGTGGCCTAATCATTAGGCTACAATACCTATTCCCCAGCCCTTACACCAACCAAGAAGTGACCATAGAAACAGATATTTTCTAAGTAGTAAAGATCCAGAATTAGAGAATGGAAAAGTCCAGCCCAGAACTAGTTTAATGTCCCATTTCTATAGAACAGCATTTTGATGTGTAGCCTGTGGTATCAGCACTGACATGAAGACTGGCAATTAAATGTATTTTCAGCAGCATCAGTGTGACTAGTTCTCTATGTCTAGGCATTGTCTTGTGATAACTGACAACATAACGCTGCCCAAGTGACAATAAAAAAAAAGGCTGTCCATAACTGCAATAAACTCACTTTCCAATTTCTCCACAGTATATAATCTTGTTGCTCTTTATAGTGAGGTGCATTCATCATCTGATCATGTCCTATATTGCTCTGCTGGACATTAAGTTTTTAGTCTAGAGATATTAAATAAAAATACTTTCCACAGTAAGAGGCATCACTTAAATGTTAGAAGCACTTAGGAATTAGTCATTCAAAGATGTTTAGATGTCTCAGAAATTCCAGTGGCAGTTCTGTTGCTTTGCCCAAATAAAATAGTCAACAAGGGCACTTTATGAAAAATGCTAAATACCAACTGCATATTATTAATCTATTAAACCACAAATGGCTACCCAGCTAGCTAAATAATTGGGTGGCCTGACACACAATGTACAACAAATTGAAGTGAACAATAGTGTCCAAAGTGCGAATATAAAAAGGAACAACCTGCAGGTTTTAGGGCCTAACTGATTATCAGCTATGGTGAGAACAGAAATTTCCCTTCCCCCTTGAAATAATATCACACAGATAGGTTTATTGCCCTTTCTTCCTGCAACAACAACATAAACACTGATAAGAAAAACTATTTCTAAACCCAATTTAAACAACTGTTTCAGCTAATGGGATTTTACCTCTCATCTCTTATTTTGGAAAGGGCGTAATATAGTTAAATCTGCCCAGATCATGGCTTCAAAAATAGTTTTATCTGCAACATCTGGCATTTGTCAGTGTTGGAGATGGCAGACTATATTAGAGAGATGGTTCCTCTTTTCTAGTAAGGCAAGCCCAGCGATTTTACCCCAAAAGGAAGAAACACTGATGGCCGAAAATCTGAAGTGTCCTAATGATGCAGGTGAATCTTAGAATTTTTCTTCCCACTGAATACCGCCAATAGTTTGTGTGTCCAAATAACTCCAAAATTACACCTGACATCCATTTTCAAGATACAGTCATGGCTTAGCTCAGAAAAAAGGGAGGAAGGAACAGATTAAATAAATAGTACTTACAGATCAAAAAAGATCAGGACTAGAATAGCAAATATGTTATAGGCAAGGGTGAGGTACACTGGCATATCTACAGCATAGGGTGATGGTTAGCCAGTACTATGCTGCTTCTAATCACTGGATTTACTCTCATTACCATAAAAGGAACATTCATGAAAGACTTTAAATTGGTGGTTCTCAACCTTCTTAGATCTAGATTGGCTTGAGGGACTTTTTAATAGGCTCAAGGCACCCCTTGGAAAATATCAGAATTTCGTTTTCACTCAGGTTTTTTTACTACAAAAAAAATAACAGAACAACTGTTCTGTTCCAAAGAAGTCAAAAAGATCACACCAGGTCAGCATGTTTTTAACACTATGGATTCTTATTTGAAATCTCTGGGTTTACCTTGTGAATCCTGTTTCCAAACCTAACAATGCTAATATTGCATGCCACCCTGCAGCACTCATGAAAGGAGCTCAAGGCACCCTGGTTAAGAATCACTGCTTTAAAAACAAGGTTATTTTTTCCTAAATAAACTATGTTTATTTTTAGGGAAAAAATACAAAAAATGTTGGAGCTATAAACCAAGTATACAACCATTTTAATAAATATTATGTAAAAGATATAAAAATTATCTTCTGACAACAGATATTTCAAGAGCTTTACTTACTTTGGATGTGTGAATTTATCTATGAGATCAACCTTTTCTACCAGGTCTCTGCCGATGTTTCGGACTAACTCACAGAAATCATTTTCAGAGTAATTCTCAGAAGGCAGCCAAAAGGCGATGTCATTTATTAAAGGAGGATATTTGCTGAGTGGCTAAGAAAGACAAAAAAAAACATTGCATGTTCTTGTATATATGTTTGATTTGGACAGACTTACATAACATTTTCTTCTCCACTTACAGTTATATCTAATTCAAGTGTTCAATGATTTCATTCCTGCAAATTTTGAAACTTTGGGCATTGGTTTTAGAAGCACAAACTGAATTGACAAATAACCAAAATGTACCTCTGAATGTGCTAAATGACTCCCTAAAAATGGTATGCCACATGCCGTAAGTGTGCTTTCTCACTGCTTTCCCATCAAGTTTGCTCAGTTTACAAGAACAAATACAGTTCTTCAAGCTGCCATTTCAGCACATTCATCCCATTTTGCACATCATCCCTGGTAGCTAATATTCTCTAAGGCAAGCATGGTGAGTGTACCTGTATAGCTCTGTCTTCTGCTTAACAAGGTTGACCACACAGATGTACCTAAATGTCAGATTTGGCTCCACAGCCAGAATATTAATTCTGATAATTACTTGTGATGTGAGCAAGAACGGATTTCAACTGCCTCTTTCCTAGGTACAGTGGCTCTGCACTCCAGGAAGAATAAAGAGTAGCAAGAACTTATTTTGATCACTAGAATCAACATTTATGAACCTGAGGACATAGAGGGAGCAGGGATGTTCAGTAAGAAGAGATCATTTCAACAAAGTAATTTCCAGTTTAGAATTGCACTTCCAATCAGTTTTAAAGATATTGCACAAATTCAAAGACTCTTGTCCCATTTACATTCTCCTGGTAGTTTTCCCCTTCGCTTTCTTTTTTTAACCAGCTATGTTTATATTTTATAATATCCAATTTAATTCTGAATAAATCTGATATACTGTTCTTGATACCTTCATATTTGTAGATTAAAGCAGGAAGCATGTTTAGACTAAAAAAAGGGGGGATCAGTTAAATCCCTCTAGTGCTCTACTGCTTCATATAAAACAGAAGACTTCCTATTTAAAGAGAATACAGATTATTGTCAAAGAAACTTTTTTTCATAAGGGTTACTATATGTTCTTTGGCAAATGTAGCATTTTAGCTTTTGCCTGGAAAACTCTGTCTCTTGATCTAATTGGTCAGGGCTGCAGAACCTGATATTTTCTACCTATTTTTCTGAAAGTGAGACAAATGTTTATTAGAACTGAACTTTTAGGGCCAGAATTGCTGGGCTTTGGGTCAGTCTAATTTTTTTTCTCTTCTAAAGAATGTATGTTTACATAAAAGTTGAACCACACAGAAATAGTTTCCTCTCTCAGTACTTAACTGTCTCAACTATGTGATACCTCATTTCCTGATCTTTAGTAGCAATGGACTGCATCTAAATTGAGTACATTTACACTGGATCCTTGGGTCCTGCAAGAGTAAATAGGTCTTTTTATTCTTATACATATATGACAGCTGATGTGTATGTCTTGGTCGACATAGTAGATTATATCAGTAAAAATGTATTCTGTGTCTGGGAATGTTTTATGACAGAATAGTGAAATCCTAAGTGAATATCTGATAAAGCAATAAACCTGTTAGAAAGGCAAATTTACAATGTGCTGATTTACACAAATCCCATTGTGGAAGGTGTAAACCCTTCAATGAATAGCTGATAAGGAATACAGGCCAAGTTTTAAATTAATAACCCCCTAGTGAATTAAACTGTGAATTACAAATGATTATCCAACTTGTTACATGAATAAACCTGTCAAATGAATTCATCTCCTGTACACCAGTTTCAAAAAACCTGCAAAATAAAGGCAGCATGCAGAAGCCGTTCATAAAATCCTAAAAGCTAATGAATAAAAGTATACCACTGCTCCACTACACCAAAGCCACACCTGTGAATGCGACACTCTGCAGTTAACAAATGATAGGAATTCAAGTGCACAATGGTATCAACATGATAAGAGCCCTGTTATCTTTTTCCCTCCACATAGTTTACTCTTACATTCTCCGACAAAGAATCTCAGTGAATTGAGGTAATTTCAAGGTATTTAGGGATTAATACCCAAACCATTAAAGGATCCAAAGTTGTGATTTAAGATTTTAGACATGAAGATTTGGTTTGACTCGAGAAGCAGCTACCTCAGATCGAGAGTTCCTAATTATTTCACTCTGATAAGTATGGCAATACAGAAAAAACACAGTTGAAGGTTATCCATGAATGTTCTGAAACCAAAAGGTGCCAAATTCCATGGAAGTTTTGCTACTGATTTCATTGGAAGCAGGACTGAGCCAACATACAGAAGCAGCCCTGTCTTTCCTAGCTAGACTAAAGAGCATATATACCAATAAGGTCAACCACTGCAAACCCACTTGCCAGTTACCATACTTTTGTGTACTATTGAACTGAAGCAGACTACGAATCAGAGACAAAGTACTGATGGATGTAAATATAGGCAATATCTGGGTCTGTCCCTGAATTACCTAGTGTACAAGAAAAGTAGGATGTGGACAAATGAAACAATTACACTGAGTTAAAACAAGAGATTTGCCAGTCGTTGGCTGATGTATGGTAACTGTTATGTGTGCCTGCTCTATTGCATGGTAAGTGGCAGCTAAACCAAAGGGAAACTAGAAGGAGCAGAAGGTGGCTTCTATCAAACTTTCCCATGGCTCAGAACTGTTCAGTGAAAAATGAGAAATTGTCTGGGAGGGAGGAAAGAGGTGTATTTTTTCACATAAAATGATTACCATGAATAAACTGACATGCAATAACTACCTTGCCCTTCTAACTTGATATAATTATCTCATCCTTCCGCTCCTAAATATAGCAATCCATGAAATCAATTTATAGGGCACACAGATGTAATTGATTCATTTTTAAAAAAGGGACTAGAAGGACAAATGAACTAATGGGCTGCACCCACACGAGCAGGAGCGCGAGTTAGTAGCAGCACAAATTTGTGCTGCTTTGTGCCACAGTGCATGCACCTGCCCATGTGCTTTGCACAATGTGTCTCACTGCTCCATGTGCTGCAGGGGGAGCTGACTGGGGCACAGGGTGCCTCACTGTGGAGCTAGCCAGCAGGCAGCCCCCGGGCTGAGACGCTCTGTGTCACAGCCAGCAAGGGAGCAGCATGTGGAGACAGGGCATGTGCCTTCTCCCCTGCCTCGGCGTGCTGTGGAGCCCCCACACTGAGACACCTTGTGCCCCAGCATAGTGTGGCTTGAGATGCAGGAGCAGACAGCCCTGGGCTGGATGCTCCCCTGTCTCTGCATGCCTCCACGTGACAGCTGTGCTGCGGAGCCCCCGGGCCAGCCGCAGAACAGCAGAGCCCTTGCACTAAGGCACATAGAGACAGGAGAGCAGTAAGCCCAGCAAGTGGCTGGCTGGGGTGCAAGGTGCCTCAGTGCAGGGGGTCCTGGTAGCAAATCAGCAGCAGCACACATAGTTTAATGTGCAATGTTTTGGGGTTTTGGTGCCACAAAGAGTTTTGTGATGCTGCAAACCACTTGTACCTACATGTCTGGATTGAGTCATGCTGTTTAGTTGCTATAAAACAATGAATAGACACCTCACTGACCTTTAATGTTCTGGTGTGCTGTATTCTTGCACTCATAGATGCATGATATAGAAATCTGTTATATTAAAGGGCAATATTCTCATATTATTGTCACTCTTTTTCACCTCCCTGAAGTCAACAGCACTGCTGAGGTATAAGTTAGTATCAAATTTGGTCTCAAGTGACCCATAAGTGTATTCAATGGAGTACTAGCTCTAGAGCTACATGATATGTATTTGACCATTACCCCTACCCACAAGTGAAAAGCATATAAAAATATGTCAAGACTCTCCTGAGTTTATGTTCTTGAGAGCAAATGTAAGCATCTAAATAAGTGGCTTGAATTTCAAAAGTGCTGAGCACTTATCTTCTCCCTTACACATCACCAAGCCCTGTTGACTCCAAATGTTTTGGTCCTTTAACTTAGATCCCAGAGAACATACTGTACAAATTCCCATTCTTTTGCTAGATCATGAATTGTTGCGACTCAGTACAGACCCCTGAACTGGCTGAAAACAAGAGGCTCTCCCTTCAATCTGCAAATAAATGGGAGATGGCCATCTAAGCCCATGACCACTTGCACACACCCAAGAGCCCCATGAAGAAAACAACTGGGACCAGCCCTCTGTGGAAACTGTAAAGGCCAGCTGAACACAGCAATGGAAAAAAAATGAGGAAAGGTTTGAAAAGCCTTTCACATGGAGGGAGAGGGAAGCAAAGAGCCAGGGCCAGCCCATCCTATCCTGCATCCGCAGGGGGGTCCTGCAGCCAAGGGGCCATGCCCCGTTTGCCCCCTACCACCTGCTCCATGTTTAAAGGGCTCAATGCAGGCAGAGAGCCCCTTCCCAGATGAGGAGTTCCCAGCTCCACTCCCTCCCGGGCCCCAGCCCGGGCCCCAGGGAGGGAACCCAGGCATCCCCAGCACGTGTTGCCCCCACCCTGCACCCCCTGCAGTGCAGTCCATGTGCATGCATCCTGGCCCTGACTATTTTAGTTCAGTGACTTTATACCACAATTAACCACAATTCTGATTTTGGATCGGGGGGCCCCAAAACTACAATCTTGCAGGAGGCCCCAAAAAATTGTGGGGCCAGCCCTGCAAAGAGCCCTTGGCCAAACTACCCCACATCTCAGAACTGTTCCGTTTGAAAATATGAGTAAGGCTAGGGCCAAAAATTACACAAAAACCAGTATAAATGATAGTGATATAAGTTCAAATCTGTAATGAAACTGAAGTTCAGTCAGTGCACATAAACCACTTTCAAAAATGGCCAAACACAATTTAAGATAAACCTGGATGGATGTAGCATCAGATTTAACTGATTTAGGTTTAATTGCTTTATTGAACTTCCATCCCAGATCCGCTCCAGATTCATGTTAACTCACAGTCCCTCAGCACCCCAGGATGCTTTGCACTTCCCCTGCAAGCCCCGCACCTCTCAGGGTGGGCAGCCTAGCCTTGGTCCAAGCTTTCTGCTCCAGCCAAGCATACAGGTATGCTCTAGCA